AGAATAGAAAGGAATGTAAATAAAAGAGTAGAATACAATAGAAAATAAAGGAATAGAATAGAAAAGAATAGAGTAGAAGGCAGCGCACCACAACCCACTACCGGGCAGTATGGTGGGGTGTTGTGATGAAAACACTGCCAGTACATGTTTTGGGGCCGCTCTCGTGCGCGGTCAGCCGACTCATAATCAATGGACCGCTATCACGCCTGTTAACGTCTGACGCAATGCGTGTTATCACAACCAGGGCAGACTGACCATTTGGAAACTCAGGCACTGCCCGAGGGCCCGGGGTCAGTAGGGGGCCCCATGAGATGCCCCTGGTACCTTTTTCATAGGCTTTTTTGAGTTTGGGCAAGGACACAGGGGCCCCATGATCCCCTATTGCCCGGGGGCCCCATGAGTTGTCAGTCCGCCCCTGATCACAACGCGCCATAACGGAACCATGTGATAGGCCCAGATAGCGCACGCACCGCAACAGCATCAGCCTGAATGTTTTCTGATTTTTATTAATCAAACAATAACTTATAACTTTTTCCTGCTTGTATTAGGGAGTTGTGTGACGTCACAAATGAAGTGTATGGTTGGTGTGAGGGAAGAACTTCCATAGCCTAATGTCAGGCGGAGATGACACGGCTCACAGCAGTGGGAGGGTTAGAGGCGGAGCCATTCACACATCATTCTGCCTCCCACATACACAGGAGCGCAGTACAAGCCGCACACACTGCTCAGCTCAATCAAGACGAGGAGGAGGGGGCGGGGCAAAGTACCCTCCAGCCATCCCCCGCCCCGCCCCAGCTCCCTCAGCTTGTTTTTGCTCTAGTTCCGGCTTCCGGGGCTGACGTCACCAGGCTGACAACATGGCGGCGGACAGTGATGTGAGTAACCGGGTCTGTGTCAGCTGTCATAGGATGGAGCGGTGTGCGGGGCTCCACACTGCACGTCATTCTGTATAGTACGGCCTCTCCCTCCCCCACACTCCCCCCCCTCCCCCATACTCCATGGTCCCCCCCCCTCCCCCATACTCTGTGTGTGGTAAGAAGAGAACCAGAACCTGCCCTGAGTGGGACTGATAATACAGCTGGCAGTGCCTCCGCCCAGGACAGGGCCTCTGTGATCAGAGGGGGTCCCTTCCCGGGACAGTGATCAGTCATCTAATCACAGGTAGTGGGAGCAGAAGAACTACTGCAACCAGCATAACATGACCCATAAGCTGGGCCTTTTGTTGCAGAGGGAACTCAGTTCTGAATGTAGGAAATAGCAAAGGGTGCTGGTGGGAGATCTACTGTTGCTGGTGGGGGGTGTCTATTTTGGGGGATCTATGGTTGCTGCTGGGTATCTATGGTTGCTGCTGGGTATCTACGGTTGCTGGTTGATCTACAGTTGCTGGTGGGGGCTATATTGTTGAGGAATCTACTGTTGCTGGTGGGGCGGGAGGGTCTACGGTTGCTGGTTGGGGTCAATTGTTGCCGGTTGATTTATGGTTGCTTGTGGGGGTCTACTATTGCTGCTGGGGGATTTATTGTTGCTGGTTGATCTGCGGTTGCTGATTGGGGTTCTATTGTTGCTGGGGGATGTACTGTTGCTGGTGGGGGGTCTATTGTTGCTGGGGGCTATTTTGCTGCAGGTGCCTTATTCTGCTGGGGAGGTCTTATGTCACTGGTGAAAGATCTATTGCTGCTTCGGGACTCTTGTTGCTGAGTGTCTATTCTTGCTTGGCTGGGGGGGTCTTCATTTGCTGCTGGGGGGGATCTATTGTTGCTGGGCTTATCTTGTTGCAGGTATCTATTGTAGCCGATTGAGGGATCTTATGTTACTGGTGGAGGATATAATGTTGTTGGGGGGGTCTTATGTTGTTGCGGGGGATCTATAGTTGCTTGAGGGTCTGTTTGTAGTGGATAGGGATCTACTGTTGAGGAGGGGGGCGAGTATATAGTTGGCGGTGGTCTTTTGTTGCAGGAGTCTGATGTTGCTTGGGAAGTATATTGTTGCTAATTTAGGAAATCAATTGTGGTTCTGGGGGTCTTATATATTGCTGGGGGGGATCAGTTGATGCTGATGGGAGATTTACTGTTGCTTTGAGGTCTGTTGTAGCTGATAGGAATTTAGTGTTGAGGGGGGGGGGTGGTTGTTGGCATGGGGGTCTATTGTTGCTGGTGGGTATTTGGCTGCAGGAATCTGTTGTTGCTTGCGGAGTATATTGTTGCTAGGGGTAGGAAATCTGTTGTTGCTTTGGGGGTCTTATGTCGCTCGAAGGTTAGATTGTTGCTGGTGGGGGATCTATTGTTGCTGGGGATGTATTTTGTTTCAAGTGTCTATTGTTGCGGGGGAAGTCTTATGTCTCTGGTGGGGGATCAATTCTTGCTCTGGCGGGTCAGTTGTTGCTTGGGGAGGATCATTGTTCGTGGTTCGTATTTTGTTGCAGGCATTTATTGCTGATGGGATCTACTGTTGAGAAGGAAAGTCGATCTATTGTTGGGGGGGCCACTGTTGTTGCTGGTGAGTATTTTGTTGCAGGAATCTGTTGTTGCTTGGGAAGGATCATTGTTGGTAGATCGTATTTTGTTGCAGGCGTTTATTGTTGCTGATAGGCATCTACTATTGAGAAGGAAAGTGGGTCTATTGTTGGGGGGGGGGGCGCTATTGTTGCTGGTGAGTATTCTGTTGCAGGAATCTGTTGCTTGGGGAGTATATTATTGCTAGGGGTAGGAATTCTATTGTTGCTGGGGGATATTTTGTTGCTCTGGGGGTCTTATGTCGCTGGGATGTTCAATTGTTGCCGATAGGGGATCTATTGTTGCTGGGGGTGTATTTTTTTTTCAAGTGTCTATTGTTGCGGGGGATGTCTTATGTCACTGGTCGGGGATCTATCGTTGTTTTATCGTATTTTGTTGCAGGCATCTATTGTTGCTGGGGGGTCTTTTGTCACTTGTGGGGGGTTCTGTTATTGCTGGTAGGGTATCTACTGTTGCTGGAGGGATCTTATGTTGTTGTTGGGGGTACTATTGTTGCTTGGGGGTCAGTTATAGCGGAGTATTTACTGTTGAAGCAGGGAGTAAAAACCTGCACATTGCTTAGTAAAAACAACCCACAGGCACACGGTTAACCCTTTCATTGCCCCTAAATGTTAACCCCTTCCCAGCCAGTGTCATTAGTACAATCACAGTGTATATTATTAGCACTGATCCCTGTATCAGTCAGTTAGTGTCAGATTGCACACTGCACTATCACAGTCCCACTATAAGTCGCTGATCACGGCCATTACTAGTATAAACAATAATATTCCAGTATATATCCCGTAGTCTGTAGGCGATATGACGGTCACACAACCAATCAATATACACTTATTGGGATTTTATTTTCCCTAAACAATACATGTTTTATATCTGACAATTTTATTGCGCTCCAGGAAGACGGCTATGGCTGTATTTCCAGGAGCCCGACGCTGATACTTCAGGTCTAAGGATCATCAACATTAGAGTTGGAGCAGGAGCTATGCCCGCCCCTCCCCTCCTCCTGCCCAATCACTCATTCACAAAATACAAAGGCTTCTGTGAATGGGCATCAGAGGGGGTGGGCGGGTACAGCTGCTCTGTGTGCCTCTCTCTCCTCTCTCACAGCCCCCAGAGCCGTAAATCTGTCAGATATAAATAAATAATAAAGATAAGTTCAGGAGATATCATGCACCTCCTTGGACTTAAAGTGGTATTAAAGGTTCAGCTTTAAAAAAAAAAAAAATAAAAAAAATGTTACCTGCTGTGAGCAGTGGCTTTGCACAGAGCAGCCCCAATCCTTTTCTTCTCAGGTCCCCTGCTAGCTCTCCTGGCTCCTCCCCCTTGACCAGTGCCCCCCACCCATAGCACGCCACTTGCTATGGGGGCACTGGTTTGTGCACGCTCCTGAGCCCTGCTCTGTGCGTTCATAAGATACATAGAGCTATAGAGCTGCAGCTTGGCTCTGCCCCCACTCTCCCCCCACTCCCACCCCCATTGGCTCACTGACTGTGATTGACAGCTGAAGCTCCTGTGTAAACCGCTGAGAGGTGGCTCAGGAGAGTATTTCGGGGGGGGGGGGGGGGGGGGGGGGGGGGGGGAGAGCTGCACACAGAAGGTTTTTTTACCTTCCTACATAGAATACATGAAGATATAAAACCTTCAGCCTTTACAACCACTTTCAGTTTGCCTGCAGTTTTTAATACCTAGAATTCAGCTTTCACACACTCTAGATGCCAATCAAAGCAGCTGTCACTAAATAAAGTGGTTCCCCTATGGTCCTGTACACACAGGGTTTGCCCTGCTTTGCTTCAGAAATTGTACTTCATTCGTTGCTTTCTAGTTGCTTGACCACATCTCCAAATCGTCCATAGACGTCGATCACAGAGCTCCCTAACCGCACTGTCAGCAATAGAGAGCCACTTCAATGTTAGCTTCACTATGTATGGAGAAAATATAGAAAACCAACGTGCACGGGGCATCTGCTACGCTTCATCAAGGCCACCGCGCTTTTACTGCATTTGCAGTGCGGTTTTCACAGGTTATGTGACTCAAAAACCGCACCAAAAATGCAACGTGGCTGTGTTTTTGCTGCCTTTTCCATTGATTTTAATGGGAAGGTGCGTTTTTTTTTTTTTTGTTTTGTTTTGTAACTACACCAAACTTGCACCAAAATGCAGGAAGTAGGATTTTAATAAAATGCAGCGGGCCCGCAATGGATCAGTGTGAAGAGCTCCATAGGAATTCATGATCACGCGGTCTTCTTCCGCTTCTTAACGCAAAAGCCGAAGAAAAATGGATTCGTGTGACAGCAGCCTAAAGCTTCCAATACACATCACAAATGCATGTTAGGGCTCATGTACACTGCAGCTGATAAACGCACGTTTAGGAGCTGTTCAGCGTTTTTTTCAGCAGCCCCTGAACTCACCCTAATGTTTTCCTATGTGTCCATGTACACATTGTCGTTTACAGTCGTTTACAGGCATTTGAGTTTACAGTAGTTTTTTTGAACGCAGAAAACTTGCGTTCAGCATTCGATTTTATCAACGTTTCAAACGCAAAACACCTGTAAACACGGCAAATCGCATTTGCGTCTGAATTTTTTTTTTTTTTTAACTCTTCCAGTTTCCGATGCTGTCCAGAGCCTTTTTTCATCATGAAAAATGCATGCAAAGCATTTTCAAGGTACTCGGATGGACAAAACACTGAACACAGGATGTTCCTACCAAGCTTGTCACACATTGTAATGACCAATTCACACCTCAGACCTCTCCCACCCTTAGAAACAAAAGATTTGTTAATGACCATTCACACCTTAGACCTCTCCCACCCTTGGAAAGATATGTTAATGACCATTCACACCTCAGACCTCTCCCACCCTTGGAAAGATATGTTAATGACCATTCACACCTCAGACCTCTCCCACCCTTGGAAACAAAAGATATGTTAATGACCATTCACACCTCAGACCTCTCCCACCCTTGGAAAGATATGTTAATGACCATTCACACTTCAGACCTCTCCCACCCTTGGAAAGATATGTTACTGACCATTCACACCTCAGACCTCTCCCACCCTTGGAAAGATATGTTACTGACCATTCACACCTCAGACCTCTCCCACCCTTGGAAACAAAAGATATGTTAATGACCATTCACACCTCAGACCTCTCCCACCCTTGGAAAGATATGTTAATGATATTCACACCTGAAATTCCTCATGAAGACCCCCTGCCGGGTGACCTTAATGACTCCCTCCACCAGACACCTTTCCCACCTTTGGAAACAAAAGAAATGTTAATGAGCAACTCACACCTAAGCTAATCTCAACACATGCTGCTGTCTCTGCTTCTACTCTCTGTATTTCTCTGAAACAGTCTGAAATAGTTAATAATTTACCACTTTTCAGCGCATTCTGGGCATTTGGGTTCTCCTGTGCTTATCTTTAAAAACTGCTTCTAAACACGCGTTATGCAAACGCGGCTTAAACAGACGTTTTTTAACCTCCGTTTTCCAGCAGTCCGTTTCCATCGTTCAGAAGTGTCCCTATACATGGGGCCTTAACGTTGTTGGTGCGTTAATGTGTGTTACTAATCCATGCAAGTGTGAAGGAGGCCTAAGAGTGAAAGTGCCGGCGCTTACACCTTTCTGTTGTGATTTAAAGTTCACCTTTTAGTAAAAAATAATAAATGCACATTTTGTTTGCAGGTAAAAAAAATGTGCATTTATTATTTTTGTCTGCAGGAGCTTGTAAAGCAGACCGCTGGTACCAAGTAGGTCTTCGGCAGATCTGTCAGTATATCTGCTTGGCCATACGTGACATACGGGCAAGCAGGTATACTGACAAGAGAATGAATGAATTAGTTCATTGAGGACTACAAGCCAACAGCCGCTAAGGCTGCTGGGACTTGTAGTCTCTTATTCACAGATGACTGTGAATGCGTGATTCGGCCGAGCAGGTGGGGATCCGCACCGCTGCGTTTTTTTTTTTTTAATTTCACAACTAGCGGGTGGAGAGAAGATCCCCCGCTAGCTGTCAAAGCGGGGGCCGGTATGATCACTATTATTATTATACAGTATTTATAAAGCGCCAATAGTTCGCTCAGCGCTGTACATTACAATGGGGGACAGTACATGTGACAGAACAATACCAATACAATGCAAAACATGAGGGGTTCGAGGGCCCTGCTCTTTCGAGCTTACAATCTAGGAGGGAGGGGATAGTGGTACAGGAGGAGATAGCTGTGGGGGATGGAGTGGTAGGAAGAGTGGAGGAGGTCGGCAGGTTAGCAGGGGGTGGGGTAGGCTTCCCTGAAGAGGTGGGTTTTCAGGGTGCTCCTAAAGGAGAGGAGAGTAGGTGATAATCTGATGGGTTGGGGCAGGGAGTTCCAGAGGATGGGTGACACCCTGGAGAAGTCCTGGAGGCGGGCATGGGGAGGAGGAGACCAGGGAACTAGAGAGAAGGAGGTCTTGTGAGGAGCGGAGTGTGCGTGTTGGGCGGTACTATTGGATATTAGGTCGGTGATGTAGTTTGGGGCAGTATGGTGGACAGCTTTGTACGTCAGTGTTAGGATTTTGAATTTGATCCGTTGCACAATCGGAAGCCAGTGGAGGGATTGGCAGAGGGGGGTGGCGGAGATGGAGTGGTTGGAAAGGTGAATGAGTCTGGCTGCCGTATTCAGGATGGACTGAAGCGGGGATAGCCAGCGGCGAGGCAGGCCAGTGAGGAGGGAGTTGCAGTAGTCGAGTCGTGATATGATGAGGGAGTGGATGAGCTGTTTAGTGGTTTAGTGGATCATAACATGTTACATCCTGGATATGGGTTTAACTTCTTACGAAAGGTGAACTTCTCCTTTAATTGCATACAAGACTAAAGAGGATTCGACTTTTCAGTACTCAAGGTACATGTGTGACAACACATTTGATTTGAGGTTTTGGGTTTAGATACACTTTAACCTTCTTTCTGTTGCCTGTTCTCATCTGTCTTTTGACTTTCTCTTGTGCAGCCTGAATCTGAAGTGTTTGAGATCACTGACTTCACTACAGCCTCAGAATGGGAGAGGTAAGACAGCTTGTTCACTGTAACCACTGCATTGATAATCACACCCTATGTTCTACTCCCTGTGATATCTTCTGTGAAGGGTGCGGTGTCCACCCCCTGCCCTACTCACCAACTTTTGACAAAGGACCAACCATTCTCACACTGCGCTGTCACTCATGTAAGGATGCCACTCTCAGCTGCACCCTGCACAAAGATTTTCCAGCTCGTGGGGCCACACTGTTGATGCCAGCAGCCGGAAAGCAATTGTTACAGGGTTAACTTACTTAAGCAATTAACCCTTTAGCCCGGGTTCACACTGATGCGGTGCGGAATTCGCAGCGTTTTCAGTGCGAATTCTGTACCACATAAGAATCGCACCCCGTTCAAGCAAACCGCTGCGGGTGTGTATGTTAAGTGAACAACACCCTGAAAGCGGTCCACAAAACACCCCATGTACAGAGCTGAATGGCTGCTATAATCATGCTAAAGTCAGTTTTACTGCCCCTTATGCTCAGCCCAGCTCATGGAGACCTCAGGAGAGAAGTGCATGCAGAGAAATCTGAAAATTGCTTTTTTTATTTTTTATTTAGCCTTTCCCATAACACACCAAGCAAATAATTACAAACAAACCCAAAAACAAATAATTTTTGGGAACATCTGTATTTTTTTTTCATTTCCTTAGCTGACCAAATGATTCTCTTTAAGCTCGGGTTCACGCTGATGCGGTTGCGGAATTCACAGCTTTTTTATTGTGAATTCTGCAGAGCATTAGAATCGCACCCCGCTCAAGTGAATTGCTGCGGGTGTGAATGTTAAGTTAACAACACCCCGAAAGCGGTCCGCAAAACGCGGTGCGATGTTCAGAGTTGGAACGCATAGGTGTGAACACCTATGCGATCCAATTCTAGTGCAGACCCAAAAAAGAGTCCTGCAAGTTTTGGGTGCGGTGCGATTAAAGCCATACAAAATGTATGGCTCCAATCGCACTGCACACAAATCGCATGTGATTTTCACCTTAGCTGCATAAAGTCTGCACATTACTTGAGCCCTGGTTCACACTGATGTGGTGTGTAATTTGCAGCGTTTTCAGTGCGAATTCCGCACCGCATCAGAATCACACCCTGTTCATGCGAACCGCTGCAGGTGTGTATGTTAACAACACCCCAAAAACTGTCCGCAAAACGCGGTGCGATGTTCAGAATCGAATTGCATAGGTGTGAATACCTATGCGATCCGATTCTAGTGTGGACCCAAAAAAGGTCCTGCATGCTTTTGGTGTGGTGCGAATAGAGCCATACAAAATGTATGGCTCCAATCGCACCACACACATATCGCATGTGATTTGCACAGGAATGCGGTGTGGTTCCTGTGCGAATAACATGCGGTATACCACACCGCATATATGTGAACCCAGGCTGAAACTCCAAACTGCCACCCAGATAGCTTTAGGCCTATCAACCCTTCACAATATTGGCAAGAACAAATGTGAACACTAACCGTCTGTACACACTCTTTTGCCACAGACAGGTATATTCAGAGGATTTTTATATACAGTAGCACTCTCCAAGAGACAAGGATTCTTTAGTTTGCATTAAAAACGTTAGGGACAGTTTTAACAGTTTTCAAAATAGCGCTTAATAATGAAAAGGTCAAAATGGTGCAAAGAAAATATTTACAGAAAAAAGGTGTTACAAAGAAATAGAGACAATAAAGCAAAAGGGAATTAAAAAGGAGTTGAAAATGAAGAATGCTTGTAAAGTCCTTGGTTTTATCAGAGTTCAGTCAATAGCAAAGTGTTATCGGCTTTCATAGCTTGACATGTTCCTTCATTGATGGTAAAACGAGAGCTCTCAACAGGTCCTGCCACTCCCTTTTATGTGGTATTAAAGGGTTGTTGACAGAGACCATCTGACCAATCATGCGGTTTAAGGGGTGAATGCTGGGAGGTCACCACGTTTTATGACCAAGTCCCATATACAGTTTCTTATAAGTACTCGTATACAGTTAGGTCCATATATATTTGGACACAGGCACAATTTTTAATACTTTTGGCTCTGTATGCCACCAGAATAAGTTTAAAACAAAACAATCCAAATGAATATGAAGTGCGGACTTTCAGCTTTAATTCAAGGGGTTGAACATAAATATTAAGTACAAATTTTAGGAACTGCAACCATTTTTATACACCGTCCCTCCATTTTCAGGGGCTCAATTGTAATTGGACAAATGAATATAATCATAAATAAAATGTTCATTTTTAATATTTTGTTGAGAATCCTTTACTGGCAATGACTTCCTGAAGTCTGGAGCCCATGGACATTACCAAAGACTGGGTTTCCTCCTTTCTGATGCTTTGCCATGCTCTAACTTCAGCTGTCATGTTTGCGGGTCTTTCTGCCTTTAGTTTTGCCTTCAGCAAGTGAAATGCATGCTCAATGGGGTTGAGATCAGGTGATTGACTTGGCCATTGCAGAATATTCCACTTCTTTTCCTTCAAAAGCTCCTGGGGTTGCTTTTGCAGTGTGTTTTGGATCATTGTCCATCTGTATTGTGAAGCGCCATCCAATCAACTTTGCTGCATTTGGCTGAATCTGGGCTCACAGTATATCTGAAAACACTGCAGAATTCATCCGACTGCTTCTGTCTTCTGTCACATCATCAATAAACACCAATGACCCAGTGCCACTGGAAGCCATACATGCCCATGCCACCACACTGCCTCCACCATGTTTTACAGATGACATTGTGCTTTGGATCATGAGCCATTCCAAGCCTTCTCCATACTTTTTTTCTTGCCGTCATTCAGGTACAGATTAATTTTTGTTTCATCCATCCAAAGAATGCTTTTCCAGAACTGGTCTGGCTTTTTTTTAGATGTTTTTTTTTTTGGCAAAGTCTAATCTGGCTTTTCTATTCTTCAGGCTTATGAATGGTTTGCACCTTGTGGTGAACCCTCTGTATTTGCTCTCGTGAAGTCTTCTCTTGATTGTAGACTTTGACAATGATACGCCCACCTCCTGGAGAGTGTCCTTCACTTGTCTGGATGTTGTGAATGGGTTTTTCTTTACCATAGAGAGGATCCTGCGATCATCCACCACTGTTGTCTTCCTTGGACATCCATGCCTTTTTTATGTTGCTGAGCTCACCAGTGCATTCTTCTTTTCTCAGAATGTACCACACTGT